ATAAAAGGGAACCACTGTATAGAAACGTGGAGGTTTGGAGCGAGAAGAGGGAGCAGGGGCTTCATCACCGTGTATTTCTTGGTCTTTGTCTCTCGTGGGTTATCCGACCTTTTGCAAATGTGAGCCCAGAAGACTCGCAGACTGTACGATTTGCCTACCCCGGGGGGTGGTCTATATGGACACCTCCACAGTCGTCCACCTTTTTCTGAAGTGTGCACACGACAGGCCTTGGACCTCAGTTGTGTTGGCCACCAACTTGAGGACATCGTCTAGGAGACACACAGGTGCTGCTTGTGAGCTGAACATCTGAGCCCTGTTGCAGATGGAGATGTGGCTGTGCAGGTGCGGGGGGTGGGGGGTGTGCAGATGCATCATAATCTCCACCAGCATCTGGTGGTGGTGGAGGTCCCCAACCCCTGGAGCCTGGGGTGGCTCTGCGAGAGCAAGTTCAAATAGGTGAGCCCCCCCCCCAAGGCCAGGAGGGCTGCGTGGGTGGCTGCACCCTGCCCAAGGCCAGAGCCGTGCACTGCATCAGATGTTGAAATCTTATAGAAATTTCTTCTGTGAGGTCTTACAGATGTTACCCAAGGCATAAAATAAATTATAAGACTCGATCAAGGAAAGGAAAACAGAGGTTTCTTTGTTTCCTATTTCAAAGTTTGCTCTTGGTATGTGTTCCATGAAACCCAAGTTAAAACAAGAACATTCCCACTAACTTATTGTAAATGACTGAAAATAAGGCAAGATTTCCCTCCAAACAATTATTCTTCAGAAAAATGGAGGTTACCTTAAATGCAAGTTCTAATAAGAACCCATCTATGAGGCACTTTCTCAATTTTTTATTTTTCCAGTAAAAACTGGTCAAGGGAAATATATTAGCCTGAAGCAACCTCAATAAATGCAAGAATGGGATCATTACAGAGTTCTCCCTGTCAAAACCAGCAGGGGGAAAATAAAACACAATTAAAAAGTAAAATAAGAGGCAGAGCTCCGGCTGCTGTGCGCTGGCGGAGGTGTGGTCCGTGGCGGGGATGGGGATCACGGTGGACGTGCACCAGGTGTACAAGTACCCCTTCGAGCAGGTGGTCGCCAGCTTCCTCCGAAAGGGAATTAGAATAATGGAGATGCTGCTAAAGGAACAGTGTGGTGCCCCCTTAGCTGAATAAGGAATCATCAGGGAGCCGTGTCCAAGTGGGCTTCTTTCCAATAATAACTTCTTGGCCACAACACATCGTAGGCACAGTTCCTGGAATACAGGTTTGAGGATACAGTATTGGCAGAATAAAGAAGAGGAGACATCCTTGCCAGGACACAAAACGATACCCTCCCCTTGGAGCCTGCTTCAAATAGTGGGACTCATGGAGATGAGACCATCTAGCTGGATTTTTATGAACAGTCTCTTTATGATTTTATAAATAAAGAAAAAGATCCATGTGAGATGACATCCACTCTTCAAAAAAAAAAGTAAAATAAAATTAAAGTGGAGGGGAAGAGGTGAAAAATTTAAAATAGATTTTGCAATTATTCTTGGAGATCTTGACTTACAATGGTGTTAGGTGCTGCTCTAAATAAGCTTTAAACATTATTTTAAAAAGCAAAATGTGAACACAAAACACGACGATCAAGATCAGATGATTGTTACATGGTAAACCTTTACTCCAGGGCACCTCCAGGGCAATTTCTTTAAGCTCCGGCTGTGGCATTGCATGAATGGGTTCTGATGACTTATGGCACGATTTCCAGGGAGAACATCAAGCACAGGATCAAAAGTGCCCGGAATTACTCCTAAGAAAATAGCAGTATCTAGGCAATATCCACTGCTACAACTATCAGGGAAAGGTAGATGGTGGGATCAACTGACCTCACCTGAACCCACTCATTGTCTTAAATTCATCAGGAGAGGGAGAGCCAGACTTCACATACCTGGCTCCAAGGATGAGGCTGGAAGAAGCTCACAGCACCAACCACCAATAATTCTTGCCAAAAATAATTTACTCTGAATCTCAGCGAGACTCTTAATCTATAACCATGGCAAGAAATTGGGGAATTTAAGACATCACAAAGAATAAAACAAATTCAGAATATAGGATAATTTATCCAATTTTTCTGACAAATAGCACTTCAAAAAGAAAGTGTAAGGGAGAGTGATAAAGAATAACAGACTGAAGACACTGTAACTCTCAAGTACACTGTGTGGCCCTTGTTTGAGTGCTCCTCAAACAAATCAGCTGTAATACATTTGGAGATTATTAGGGAAGCTTAAGTATTTAGTAAGTATTACCTAGTTTTAGAGAAAATTTGTAAATTTTTTTCAGTGTAATAATGTCATAGTAATTATTTTTCTTAAATATTTAGCAGTCAGAGATGCACACTGAGGCATTTGTGGGTGAAATGACATAGTGTCTATTATTATCTTTTGGGGGGGGTACTGGGGATTGAACTCAGAGGCACTCAACTACTGAGCCCTATTTTGTATTTTATTTAGAGACAGGGTCTCACTGAGTTACTTAGCACCTAACTTTTGCTGAGACTGACTTTGAACTTGTGATCCTCCTGCCTCAGACTCCCAAGCTGCTGGGATTACAGGTGTATGCCACTGTGCCCAGTGGTAATTATTTTCTTTAAATAAATTTATACTATAGTATTGTCCCCAAAGTATGGAAGAATCAAGTGCCCCTGAGGTCAATCCCCAGTAACCAAAAAAATAATAATAATAATAATAATAATAACTGCTGTTTTTTCTCCCACTAAAGATGAAACAAGATTCAAGAAATGTTAATACTTAATGAAACTAGGTGATGAGTACACAGATGTTTGTTATGACAGTCTCAACTTTGCATGTTTGACATTTTCCATAATAAAAAAGACTTTCAAGTTTTCTATCTAAAATCACTTAGAAATAAAAATGATATGCCCTGAAAAATGTGTTAAATAAAATAGTGGCATTAATGATATCAAATATGAGGTAAAAAACTTTTTCATGAAATGACATTAGAAATAAAAAAAAATACTTCTATATTTAACCATTTAACATATCATCTCAATTTTATATGTATAACTAGATTAATGCAACTATAAATATACATTGGCTTATTTGGCCTTTATTCCTAAGCGTTTATATATTTGTGTTAGACAGCGTTTCTTAGCTGTGACTGAAACACCCTATAAGAACAATTTAGAGGAGGAAAAGTTAATTTTGGCTTATGATTTCAGAACATCATGGTGAAAGGGCCAGTCCTGAGGAGCTCTGCTTACCTCCTGATGGCCAGAAAAGGGGTGGGGGGAAGGGCCTGTGAGGCAGGACAACCCTTCCAAGCATACCTCCAGGGACCACCTCCTCCAGCCATGCCCACCTTCCTATAGTGACCACTCAGTCCATTCAAATAGGATGGACTAATTAGGTGACAGTTCTCATAATCTAATCATTTCATCTCTGAATATTCCTGCATGAACAAAGGAATCTATGGGAAACACCTCATGTCCAAACTATAACAGTTATATATAAATTGGCCAAAAAAAATCTTATACTCAAAAATATACAGTAATCACACTTCAGCAACATCTTGTAATGTCAAAGTAAGTAGTCGTATCATCATACAGACTGTTAGAACTAAAGGTATCCAGAGTGATCGGCTAGAAAGGAAACACTCATGTATGACAAAACCAAAAGTAAATTCCAAGTTTCTGCCTCCTAGCTCAGTGCTCTTTCCAACAGCATCCAGCTTCTGAAATCCCCAGTACCTGGCCGGAGTCATGACTCAGGCACAGCAGTGTGCAAGCATTCAGATTTCTCTGGGGGCAGCAAGGAGGAATTCACACATCTAACTGGTCCTCCCTGGCTGATCTTCCTATAGCACAACTCCATTGTCACCTCCTGGCCCTGAAATATTCTCCAGATCCTTCTTCTATAGACAATAACTGCCAGGTGCGATGGTACATGCCTGTAATCCCAGAAATTCTGGAGGCTGAGACAGGAAGATCACAAGTTCAAAGCCAGCCTCAGCAAAAGTGAGGCCCTGCCTTTAAATAAAATACAAAATAGGACTGGGGTTGGGGCTCAGTGGTGGAGTGCCCCTGAGCTCAATCCCCAGTAACCAAAAAAAAAGGACAATAACTGCTGTTCTTCTTTCTCCCACTAAAGACCAGTCTGGCCTCTGCCCATCAAGTCACTGCAGTATTTCATAGGCTGTGCATCAACTGATACAGCTTTGGTTGCTGGCCCCCCCACTCTCTACCTTTAGATAAAGTACTGAGTCTCAGGTTCCTCCACCGTAAATCAGGGACAAAAATAATTTCCAAGGTGGGATAAGACTGAGAGATAATTGTTACGGTTCGGCTGAATGTTCACATCACTCATCTGGACCCTGTTAAATTTTGTTATATTTATGTCTGCATTATTTCTCTTAGATTGTCAATGAGCTCTGCTTGATTTTGCTCTCCTTGAACCATGTGCTGTACATAGATGCATAGATGTCTTATTTCTCTCATTGTTTAGGAATACTAATTCCTATACCAACACTTACTGTAATGTTTATTGAGCACTTAGAGTGGGCCAAGCACTCTGCTGAGCTATTTATCTTCATTGCCTTTACTTCTCTATCACCTAGAACAGGCTTCCCTGTGCAGTGAGGGGGAGAACAGTGATGAGTGATAGGAAGGAAATTAATTAGAGTGAGGTAGAAAGCAGGGACGCCTTACTGTATGGAGAAAGGCCTCTTGGAACAAATAACACTTGAATTATGGAAAGAAATGGAGGTGGCAGATATTTGATGATCTGACAGAAGAAGAAACACTACAAAAGGAAGAACTTTCAGAGGGCGGAAGCAGCCCCAACAGGGAACCCAGTGGGAGGCACAGGCCGCAAAGGGGTGGCAGGAGGGTAAGGGCGGCAGGATTTGTGGTTAGATCACGGGGAGACCTGGAAGAGTTCCCTGTTTATTTTAGGGGACAAGAGAAAGAAGTCGCTGAAGGATGTGGAGCAAGATGATTCAGAGCATCACCCTACAGGAGACCACCACGACATTATGGCTGTCTTATTCCTTTTCGCTGTTTGAATTTCATTCTGCACCACGCAAACCCCGTTGGGCACACAGACTTCTGCGGCTCGCAGCAGGCTGAGCACCCCGGGCTCCGCGTCACCTGTGGAGAAGGCTGCCATCTGCTGGGCGAAGGCAGGATTCAAAAGCCGTCGTTCCCGGAAGGGGACCGGGCGCTCGCACCGGGCCCTGCTACGTGCAGAGCAAACCCTTTAACCCTCCTCCCTGCCCCTAAGAAGGCTGTGTTTGAGTACCTAATGGGACACAGCTGGCCCACAGAGAAAAGGCAGGAGGGCCTCTAAAAGACAACAACAGATCTGGGCCAGGAGGCAGAAGAGCCTGGGAAGAGGCAGGCTGCGGCTTGAGAGAAATCACGCAGGTATTTGAGGGGATTAGCTGTCACGATGATGAGACACTTGGGAAGTGAAATGTCTCGAGATTTTAACAGGTTCTGTTCTGTGTTGGAATTAGTTCCCTTGAAGATATGTCAATAAGACCTACATTGCTTTTTCTTTTCTTTTTTTTTTTTTTTTTTTTTTTTTTTGGTACTCAGGATTGAATCCAGGTGTGCTTAACCAGTGAGCTACATCCCCAGCCCTTTTTATTTATTTATTTTTTGAGACGGATCTCATTAAGTTGGATCTCATTAAGTTGCTTAGGACCTCACTAAATTGCTGAGGCTGGGCTTTGAACTTATGACCCTCCTGCTTAAGTCTTCTGAGATACTGGGGATTACCGGCAGGCGCAGGGCCTACCATTACATTGTTTTTTAAAGGCTCTCTCTCTCTCTCTCTCTCTCTCTCTCTCTCTTTAAGTCCTTTTTTTTTTTTTTTTTTAGTTGTAGTTGAACACAATACCTTGATTTTATTTATTTACTTTTATGTGGTGCTGAGGATTGAACCCAGTGCATCTCACATGCCAGACAAGTGCATTACCTACTGGCCACAACCCCAGCCCTTAAAAGCTCTTTAAAGTAAGATTCCTGCTTGTTCTAGGTGCACTGTTGTGCAGTCCTGTTATATAATGGGCATCACCATACAAACAACATTGGGACTGTCTTTGAAATACTAGGGCAGGGTCTGTTACTACAGTCCACTCTTTCTTGCTCCTCTCCTAGGCACACCTCCCTACCTGGTACTGCTGCCTTAGAACCTTAGCTCAGGGTCATTTGGGAGAGAGACAAGAGAGAGCATGGGAGAGGAGTGAGACTGCAGAGGGAGAAAGAGGATGAGTCCTTTCATATAGTTAAGCCAAAAGGCTGAGGCTTCTGTTCCAACTAGTGCTCAGAAACACCATACTGCCACACTACCTATTGCAAAAAAGGATAAATTATGCCTCCTCTCACACCCCTAACTTTCCACAGATGTCACTTTTTGTCCCCTTAACTTCAAATATATTTTTCATGTTTACTTTCATTTGGTTCATCCATGGGAAGATGGTGCAGGCCACTGGACAGCTCTGAGAACCCTGAATTTATAATTTACACCATACACTGCATACACTCCAAATGGACCAAAGATTTTTCATACCTGAATGTCATGCATCTATTTGGATTTTATATTGTGTTTGTGTATTTATGCTTTGATTCATAATAACTCATATTATGTAATTGATTTGCATTGAACCCAAACTATAAATAAAAAATAAATAAATGGCTGAAAAAATAAACACTGTAAAAGGCAAGAAAGGACTTCAGAGGGCACAGGGCAGGGGTGAGACATTTCATTGCATGTCTTTTTATGTTGTTTTAGCATTTGAACACTGTGAATGTCTTACAAATTTTAAAACGTTTTAAATTTTAAAAAAAATAGTTTGATTTCTTTTCTTACCTAAGATTTTTTCTTTCAACTATTTTCCCCAATTGCTTATGAATCCAGATTAAACACTCTAGGTTAGGTATACTTGAGATTAAACAGTCTCCATCTCAGTCTTGTAGGTAAAAATCTTTAGGAGGCAAACCGCATGCAGTCGTGCACACCTGTAAGCCCAGCAACTTGGGAAGCTGAGGCACGAAGATTGCAAATTTGGGACGAGTCTTAGCAATTTAGCAAGGCCCTATCTCAAAATAAAAACTAAAAAGGTCTGGGGATGTACCTCAGTGGTAGAGCACTTCTAGGTTCAATCCCCATTATCAGGGAAAATAATTATTTTAGCAGCATAAAAATGCTATTTAGGGCTGGGGATGTGGCTCAAGCGGTAGCGCGCTCGCCTGGCATGTGTGCGGCCCGGGTTCGATCCTCAGCACCACATACAAACAAAGATGTTGTGTCCGCCGAGAACTAAAAAATAAATATTAAAAATTCTCTCTCTCTCTCTCTCTCTCTCTCCCCTCTCTCACTCTCTCTTTAAAAAAAAAATGCTATTTAAGGTCATGATGTGAATATGACCACCTAAGGATGTAATAAAAGAATATAAATAAAACAATGTAAATAAAAAGAAAAAAGGGTCGAAACGGAGCCCATTAGAATTCAGGAATACAGGAGGGCTCAGTAAGCAAGCCGGAGAAAGAGCAATCAGTCAGGGATGTGATAAACTGAAGACTGGTGTCATAGAGGCTGTGAGAAGAAGATATATATTTCAAGAAGTGGGCAATTTTGTGACAAGCTGATTGTGCTGCCAAGAGTCAAATAGGAAAACACCTGCTAGCATCAGCTGACACCTTCTGAGCTCTCTCCATGTACCAAAAGCTGTTCTAAATGCCTTACATGAATTAACTCTTTGAATCTTCTTAACAACCCTCAGGATAGAGAAAGAACCACTAGACTTGGTGACACAGAGTTCAATGAAAGAGACTTTTCATTCAACAGTAATTGAGAGCTTAATATAAACTCCTAAACAAGGAGATACATAATACAGTCAGATAAGAAAATCAGCAGGCCACAGTGTTCTTTTTTGACATAAGGAAGTGACAAATACTTGAGGGTGTTAGGTGCAGGACAGGCTGAACTAAGTTGTCTTCAGGGCAGGCTGAATACATGTTAGCTGCAGGATAACCCACGCATTCAAACCCTCCTCTGACTGTCCTTTATCACCTGTTTGCGTCAAGTCTGAACACTCGACCCCCACCTGTCTGGTGCAACGGAAACCCACATCTAGCCCCTGCCCCATCTGCCTGAAGGCAGAAGATGACACCACTGTATGATCCAATCACTGTACGCCAACAAGGCAGCTTGCAGACCCAGAGACCCCATTAGATTTGAGCTATAAAAACTCCCTCCTGCCGGGTCCCTCTCTCTTGCTCTTGCTCTGTCTCCCTCTCTTGCTCTTGCTCTTGATCTCTCTTTCTTCTCTCGCTTCTCTCTCTCTCTCTCTCTCTCTCCCCCCCCCACTCTATTTTTCTCCTCTTTTGCACTGCTGCAATAAAGATCTCTTGGTCACTCCAAATGTTGTGGTCACTTTCCTTTCAGAGGGGAAAAGTGTCCTGGTAGAAGACAAAGAAAGTGAAAGGATCCTGAGGTAAGAGAGAAGAAATGTGGCTGGAAAGCACAAACTATATACAGAGTGGTCAGACATGAAGTCGGGCATGTCTGATCAAGTGCAAGGTCAAGTGAATGGCAGGGGCCAGATCACGTGGGGCCTTGCTAAAGACTTCTGATTACATACTTTATGATATGGGAACCCCCTCTGGAGGGTTGAGAGCAACACAGCTGCATGTAATCCACCTTTCTAAGGAACTCCTGAGACCAATGTAAGTACAGTGAATTGGAGGGTGAGCAGGAGTGGAAGCAAGAGCCCAGCTACAGTGGATTTGGCAAGCGATGATGACATTTTAGATGTTAAGAAACAGAGCCCCAGCGGCTCAGGAGGCTGAGGCAGGAGGATCAAAAGTTCAAAGCTAGCCTCAGCAATTTGGCAAGGCCCTAAGCAACCTAGAGAGACCCTGTCTCTAAATAAAAAAATAAAAATAAAAAGGACTTGGGACTTGGCTTGATGGTTAAGCACCCTGGATTCAATCCCCAGCAAAAAAGAAAAAGAAATAGAATCAGAATATAACTCAAAGTTAGGATTTGCTAACGGTTTGGAGGCAGGGTATAAGAAAAAAAATGGGTCAAAGTTTTAGAAACATTAAATTTTGTGTGCCTAATAGATATTCAAAAGCAGGAATACTGAATAGATAATTGGTTAGAAAACTCTGGATTTCAGAGGAGAAACTGAGGCTAGAGATAATCTGTGAAGTTACCAGAATATAATTAAGGTTATGGAACTAATGACATCACCCAGAGAATAAGGAAAGTTCTAGAAGAATCTGAGTGGAGTTAGTCATCAGTCATCAGCCCAAAGACTGGGAATTCAGTAAAAGAAACTGAGTCAGGAACAATCCATGAGGTAGGAGAATGGTGGTGCTGGTATCCCAGGAGAGAATCAGAAAGAGTTCTAAGGCAAGGCAGGTGCCAAACGAGGCTGGTGAGGATGAAGAAGAAGTCTTTGGCTCTGGCCAGGCAGAGGTCATTGTGACCTCATTAAAAGTAACTTTAGGAAGCAGAGGGGATGAAAGCTTCATTTAAGCTGGGCACAGAGGCACACAACTGTAGTCCCACTGACTTGGGAGGCTAAGGCAGGTTCAAAGCCAGCCTCAGCAACTTAGGGAGACCTTGCCTCAAAAGAAAAAAATAAAAAGGGCAGGGATATAGCTCACTGGTAAAGTGCCCTTGAATTCAACCCCCAGGACTGGGGAAAAATAATAGAATTTAGAAAGTTTAATTTAAGTGGCCCTCAAGGAAATGGAAAAAGAGGGTGTAGACATAATAACTACAGGCAATTATTTTGAGTGATTTTTTTTCCTATAAAGAAATAGAGTGGTACCTGGAGTGGGTACGTGGAGTTAATGGAAGGGGTGTGTGTCTTTATGTGTGTGTGTGTGTGTTTACCTTTTATTTGGTTTTCTGCCACGTTGGGGATCAAACCCAGCACTAGGTATCTGCTAGGCAAGTGCTTAACCACTAAGCTATATCGCCAGTTCCTGTTTCTTTTCTTTCTTTTAATAGTTATTGTGCTGATGGAAAAAAAGAGAATATAGTGATGCAGGATAGAAAGGGGCTAATTTTAGAAGCAAAGAACTTAAAGAAGTTAAATAGGACAAGATCCAACATATGGAATGAGGGAATGGCCTATAATAGATGAGAGGACAATTCATCCATGATTAACAGGAGAAAAGGTAGATTATGTGTATAGGTGCTGGTGGTTTAGTAGATTGCAAGGTGAAAAGATATGGTGATTTCTCCTGTTCTCAATGGGTAAAACAACAACAACTGAAAGCCCATTTGAAGTTCAAGGTCATGAATTTAAAGATCAGTCCACATACTGTTTGCCTTTCTCTTGTCTTGGTCTGTTTTATAAGTATAGGCAAGAGTTAAATTTAACCAGGCACAAATGACAGATGAGAGACAGATGAGGGAGTTAAGGACACCTACAAGTGGGTGACTGAGTTGGCAAACCACGGAAGATGAGTAAGGAGAGACAGAAGAATGCAAGGTAGTGATAAAGATTAGTAGAATCAGCTGGGCACCACACATGCCTGTAATCCCAGAGGCTCCGGAGGCTGAGGCAGGAGGATCGAAAGTTCAAAGCCAGCCTCAGCAACAGCAAGACACTAAGCAACACAGTGAAGCACCATCTCTAAATAAAAGAAAAAATAGGGCTGGGGATATGCCTCAGTGGTCGAGTGCCCCTGAGTTCAATCCCCAGTACTAAAAAAAATGGATTATTAGAATCAATGGGTCATACCTCCAACCATCAATGGGTCAGACCTCCAACCATTGAGCAGGAAAGATAGGACATGGTTAGAGATCAGAGTGCTCATGATAGAGATTCAGGAAATGGAACAGCAATTGACAAGGGATAGAGTGGGGGGTGTCTGAGATGGGGAGAGAAACCAGATCATTCCATGTGAGGATGTCAAGGGATGTTGAGATTTTGGGAGGAGCCAAGTGGATCATCCATGGGGTTACTCAATCTCCAGGTGCAATGGCAGGGGTGGCAGTAAACCAGAGCAGTTTCAGTGAAGTAGAGGAGAAAGAGGCCCAACCAGGTGACAGCTGAGGAGAGAATGAGAGGTGAGGAAATGGAGTCATTGAGCACAGACAACTCTTTTGACAAGTCCTGCAGTGAAGAACAGAAAAATGGTGGTGATGGTGGGGGAGAAAAGGTCTGAGGAAGACATGGGATCAAGAGTTATTTCAAGATAAGAGATTCTACAGTATTTGTGTATGTTCATAGGACAGATTCATTAGAAAGGGACAAAGTAGTTCTGCAGGGAGAGGGGATAACAGTAGGAACAAAGTTCTTCAGGAGACAATAGTGGAATCTAAAGCACAAATAAAGGATTTTGTTTTTCATAAAACAAGGCACAAAGCTGATGTGGTGGCACATGCCTGTAATCTCAGCAGCTCAGGAGGCCAAGACAGGAGGATCACTAGTTTGAGGTCAGCCTCAGCAATTTAGGGAGACACTGTCTCAAAATAAATAAATAAATACAAGAAAAAGGACTGAGATGTTGCTCAGTGGTAAAGCACACTTGGGTTCAATCCCTAGCACCAAAACAAACAACAAACAAAAGGTACACACCTTCCCAGAAAAAAAAAAAAGAAAGAAAAGAAAAAGCAGAATCCACGAATCAGATGTGGGTAAGGCAATAGATTAATGGTAAGAAAATAAGTTCATGATTGATTGCTTCTATTTTCTTGATAAAATTTGAGGCAAAGTCTGTAGCTGGATGAGGGTCAAAGGTGTGAAGGTCACAGGAGATAAAGAAGGTATTTAGTCATCATCTCAGAGACTGGGAAAACTAACCTACTAGGCAAATTGAGTTTGCTAGGAAGTACCACATTACCAGTTGTGATTTGTGGTAATGCAATTAAAATAAAACCATCAGCCTAATTGTACAATTTGTATAGCAAGAGTAACTGCTAGGTGTAGGAAGAAAGCAGATGGATGGCTGGGTTTAACCAGGGTTGAGATTTGGGGCAGAGAAATGGCAGTTAGCAGGAGAGCCAATGGAGTGGCGGAAGAATTGCAAGAGCAACCTCAATGATGGACCATGGAATTGAGGCTGGGTAAGGAGGAATCAGTGAGAACAGGGGATAAAAACTGGTTAGTCAGCTGGGCATGGGGGTTCACACCTGCTATCCCAATGGCTTGAGAGGCTGAACCAGAAGGATCACAAGTTCAAGGAAGCCTTAGCAATTTAGGAAGATTCTAAGCAACTTCATGAGACTCTGTCTAAAAATATTTATTTGTACCTCTTGCATGCAAATAAAAAGGGCTGGGGATATAGCTCAGTGGTAAATTGTCCCTGGTTTAAATCCCCAGTGTCTCCCTGACCAACCCCAGCAAACAAACAAACAAACAACAACAACAAAAAAAATGGTCAGTCAAGGGACTGGAGGTCCCATATGGATAAGAAAATTATTTGGGGTTGGATCATTAGTGAAAGGTCATGAGTGAACTGATGTAGTCAGAGCAAGGATGGGGTGGGGGATCAGTACTGGGGATTGAACCCAGAGGCCCTCTATCATAGAATCACATCCCCAGCCCTTTTTATTTTATTTTAAACAGAATCTCACTGTTGCTGAGGCTGGCCTCCAATATGCCATCATCCTGCCTCAGCCTTCTGAGATGCTGGGATTATAAGCATGCACAACCAAAGCCAGCTCCTGAGCAAGGATGTTTATCCCAAGTCCCATCAGCCCCAATACCATTTGAACTTGGGGAAGAGTGAAAAGATAGTGGGCACTTAGGTGCACTCTGGGAATATTTGCTCCAAGAATGCCTCCTCACTGGCAGCATGTGCCAAACACTGACAAAAATATCCTGACTTCCAAGGTCCCTACCATTAGTTGGACAGTAACAGAAATGATGTAATCTTAAGTCTTAAGTGCAATAAAGGGGAATGATGGAAGGACAAACCAGAGGGATGCAGTGACTAGCTGCAGAGGAGAATTAAGAAGGGCTTCAATAAGGTAACAGCAGGTCTTCAAGGAGAGCTAAGGGGTCATCAGGTGATAGTGGAGGAAGAAGAGAGTTTGTCATTGCCAAGGTGTCAATACCCCATCAGAGTCCCTTGAAGTGCAGAGAGTGACTGCAGAGAAGTGGGTAGATGACACAAAACACTGCAAATTCTTGCATGCACAACTTGACCCTAGACTTCCAGTTCTAGATGTGCAAGGTCGCAGGGGTGTGGGGAGCAACACCTACCATTCTGGGATGACCCCCGATACCGTGTCGGGCATCTGGTGATCAGAGATGGGGAGAACATCACCGCAGTGTTGTTAAACAGCCTTAACTCCTTGGCCTCGTGGGGCTTGCGGGGCTGGCTGTGCTCCTGGGGGTGCAGGGGTTCACAGGGATGGAGGGGTTCCCGGGCCTTGCGGAGCTTGCGCTGTTCACAGGGCCTAACACATGGCCTAAGGAGCTTGTGAGGTGCACCTGACTCAAGGGTCTCAGAGGATGCGTAGTGTACCTGGGCCCTGGGTGGTGTGCGCTCCTTATAGAGTTTGTGGGGTCCAGAAGTTTGGCCGGACTCAGAGGATTTGGTGGATTCCATGGGCTCAGAGGTTTCTTCGGATTCCTTATACCTGTCGACCTCATCATCCTCCTCATCCTCATCGTCCTCGTCGTCCTCCTCATCCTCGTCGTCTTCATCGTCCTCGTCGTCGTCCTCGTCGTCCTCGTCATCCTCGTCGTCCTTGTCGTCCCCGTCGTCCCCGTCATCCTCGTCGTCCCCCTCATCCCCATCTTGCTGGTCTCGCTGCTTAGCCTCCTCCTTCAGAGCGTCCTGCAAATCGAGAATCCTGAGCACTAAGGGTTTCTGGAAGGCTTCGGAGTTAGAGGACGTTTCTGTCTGCGTCACCTCGGACAACTCGGATGAACCTGAAAACCCTTGGCCCGCCATTGTGTCAGAAACCCTCTCGGGGAGGGTGGCCCAAGCCAAGTTCAAGGTCTTCAGGAGACTGAACTAGGTGGGGGCAGCCCACGCCCCGCCCCGAGGCCGACTTGGCCTCGCCCCTCCCCCCTCCCTACGCGTTGTCCCGTTGTCATGGGGACCTTGGGCCGCCGCCAGAGCATCCAGAGCAATTGTCTGCAGGGACCAGGCAAGATCCCGGAACTGAAGCTCTCTGCACAGCCCTGGGGCAGAACCTGTCAGCTTCCATCTAGTTGCTTTACAACTCAGCAGAGGCAGATCGGCTAGATTTCAGAGGTTCCTCTATATAAAGGCTGGGAGCAGATGCACAAAATTTAGATCCTCAATCACTAAGACAGTTTCTAGTAAATGCACATCAACCGAATAAGGACTGTGGGGAGAGGGCGGCAGCAGTGTGAAGTTTGTTTAACATTTCAGAAAGATTTTTCCATTTTATCTCCACCTGGATTTCTACAAGCTGTCGCAAGGAAACACTGATAGGTTTTAAAATCCTACAACTTGTGTCCCATCTCAGGATATATGATCCATTGAAGTTTGCTACAAATCATTACTTTATCTTGTGAAGAACACAATTGTATCCTCTGTGTGTACATTAATTTGTTGTCTCTCTCTCTCTCTCTCTCTCTCTCTCTCTCTCTCTCTCTCTCACACACACACACACACACACACACACACACACACACACACCAGGGATTGAACCCAGGGGCACTTAACCACTGAGCCACACCTCTAACCTTTTTTAAAATCTTTGAGAGGGTCTCCATATGCTGCTTAGGGCCTCACTAAATTGCTGAGGCTGGCTTTGAACTTGCTATCCTGCTGCCTCAGCCTTTGAAGCTGTTGAGATTACAGGTGTGTGCCACCGTGCCCAGCAAGTGTGATGTCTTTTAAACCCAGCATACCACCTTATCCCCATATCCAATACATAAGCAACTCCAGTTAACTCTGAAAATACATGTCTTCCACGCATCCCTTTCTCTCCACGTCCAGTCACTGACTTAGTCCACCCCACCCAGTTCGCCTTCTGATTTCTACCTTTGCCCAGCTCCAATCATAACATTCCAAACATTGAGAGAGAGAGGACACACTTGTACTATAAGTGGTCCCACAATCTAGTCGTTGTTCTTTCTAGTCCACTTCAGGTCATTACACCCTTGCTCTGTACATTCTAGTCTCCCTGTTCTTCTCTAGTTTGTCAAACTTTTTTCCATCTCAGCCTTTTCTTACACCTGTTCTGCTGTCTGGAGTTCACTTCTCACCACTCTTCCCATACTGGCTGTTTTCTATGCTGTAATTCTCAGCTTAAATACTACCCACTCAAAGAGTCTTTCTAGCTCTTATTAATTTTTTGTATATATGTACAATTTTATTAGTGAACATAATAAAATATTTTCAATAGCACAGAATTCAGCTGCTAGGATTTTAAAGAGTAAAATTTAATTATTATTGATTTTTATTAGAGTATTATAATTATACGTAGTATTTGGGTTCACTCTGACAAAATTATACATAGCAGAAATTTTATTTCAATCCCCATCCCCCTTTCTTCTCCCTTCATTCCTCCCCCTTTTCTCCCTCCTCTACTGATCTTCGACTTCATTTTTTTAAATTGCAGTTGAACACAAGACCTTTATTTTATTTTTTTTAATAATTTTTTTTATTTTTTAAGATTTTTTTTTGAGACAGAATTTTAATATTTATTTTATTGGCGGACACAACATCTCTGTTTGTATGTGGTGCTGAGGATCGAACCCGGTCCGCACGTGTGCCAGGCGAGCGCGCTACCGCTTGAGCCACATCCCCAGCCCCTTGTTTATTTATTTTTATGTGGTGCTGAGGATGGAACCCAGTACCTCGCACATGGTAGGCAAGCGCTCTACCGCTGAACCACAACTCCAGCCCCTAACTCCTTTATTTATTTTTTTAACAATTTTATTTTTATTTATTTTTTATTTTTTTAAGAGAGAGAGAGAGAGAATTTTTAATGCTTATTATTTAGTTTTTGGTGGACACAACATCTTTGTGTGTATGTGGTGCTGAGGATCAAACCCAGACCGCACGCATGCCAGGCGAGCGCGCTACCGCTTGAGCTACCTCCCCAGCCCAACTCCTTTGTTTTTGATTGAGGTTTTGTATATATACATAAGGATGAAATTCCCTCTGGTACATTTATATGTGTACATAGCATAATTTAATACAGTTAAATAAATTCATCCCATATTTCTGTTTCTGTCCTCCCTCTGTCCCTCTCATTCTCCTCTTTCTCCTCCACTGATTTTCCCTTTATCTTTGATATCCACTCCCCTCCCCCCATTGCCTTTCTCCCCTTATTTTGTTCTAGCCTACACACGAAAAACATTCCACCCTTAATTTTCTGAGTCTGATTTATTTCACTTAGCATGATTTTCTTCATTTCTATCCATTTACCTGCACATGCTATTATTTTGTTGTTCTTTATGGTTGAGTAAAACTCCATTGTGTATATATGCCAAATTTTCTTGAACCATTCATCTATTGACAAGCATCTGGGTTGATTCCATAATTTGGCTTTGTGTGAATTGTGCTATTATAAACATTGTAGTGGCTGTTATTACTGTAGTATGCTGATTTTAGTTTTTTCAGATAAATACAGAGGAGTAGGATAGCTGGGTCATATGGTGGTTCCATTTCTGGTTTTTTGAGGAAACTTCACACTGCTTTCCAAAGAGGTTGTACTAATTTGCAATTCCACCAACAGTGTATGAGTGTACCTTTTCCTCCTTACCTTTGCCAGCATTTATTATTATTTGTATTCTTGATAACTGCCATTCTGACTGGAATGAGATGAAATCTTAGTGTAGTTTTGATTTGCATTTCCCTGATTGCCAGAGATGTTGAATATTTTTTCATATAATTATTGACCATTTGGGTTTCTTCTTTTGAGAAATTTATTTAGTTCTTTTGCTCATTTATTGATTTTGTTATTTTTCTGGGGGGTTGAGATTTTTGAGTTCGTAATCAAAATCCAGGGTCAGAGGAGTAACTGGCAAATTTTTTTTTCTCATTCCATAGGCTCTCTCTTTACTCTCTGAATTGTTTCCTTTGCTGTTTAATTTGATGGCATCCCACTATTGAGTCTTAGTTTTTATTTCTTGAGCTTTAGTGGTCTTGTTGAGGTAGTTGATGCCTGCACCTATATGATAGAATGTTGACTATGTTTTCTTCTAGAAGTTGCAAGATTTCTGGTCTAATTCCTAAATTTTTGATCCACTTTGACTTTTGTGCAGGGTGAAAGATAGGGTCTAATTTTGTTTTTCTACATATGGATATGCCATTGTCCTATACCTTTTGTTTAAAAGGCTTTCTTTTCTCCAACATATTTTTGGCACTCTTTCAAGTATCAGATGGCTGAAAGTAGGTGGGTTTATATTTGTGTCTTCTATTCCATTGTTCTTCATGTCTATTTTGTTGCCAGTACCATGCTGGTTTTGTTACTACAGCTCTGTAGTATAATTTCAGATCAGATTTTCTGATGCCTTCTGCTTCACTTTTTTAAAAAATATTTTTATTTGTAGATTTACACAATACCTTTATTTTGTTTATTTATTTTTTTAATGTGATGCTAGGGATCAAACCCAGTGCCTCACACAGGCTAGGCAAGCACTCTACCATTGAGCCACAACCACAACCCCTGCTTCATTTTTCTTGCTTAGTATTGTTTTGGCTATTCTGGGTCTCTTATTCTTCCAATTGAATTTAAGGATTTTTTTTCTACTTCTGTGAAGAAAGTCTTTGGTATTTTGATGGGGATTGCATTAAACCTGCTTTTGGTAGTATGGCCATTTTGACAATATTAATTCTGCTTATCCAAGAACATGTCCAGCCCATATTATTTTTTAAAGTATTCTAGTACTAAGTACAGTGAATGACTAGAAACAACTGTCATTATTTCTGATATTTTCCTGCCTAGGCTCCCTTCCCTCTCCTTTTGAAAGCAGACCACCTCCTTTCTATGAGAGCATGGATTTCATATGGTTTGAGGGAGCTAATCCTTCTTCCTACTCTGGATCCAGCCAATCTGGCCACAAGAATCTGTTCAGGTATAAAGATGTGACCTCAGCAGAGCCAATCAGTGCCCCTCAATGAGATTTGCTGTCTAGCTGTTGAAAGAGAGTTCATAATATCCTGAGATGGGCTGGGGATGTGGCTCAAGCGGTAGCGCGCTCGCCTGGCATGCGTGCGACCCGGGTTCGATCCCCAGCACCACATACCAACAAAGATGTTGTGTCTGCCGAGAACCAAAAAGTAAATATTAAAAATTCTCTCTCAAAAAAAAATAAAATAATATCCTGAGATCATGGGCTATATGAATAGTGTAGGCTTGATGTCAACAGCAATCATCTTACTACCTTGGTGAGGGTAACAAGAGTCTGAGTATTAATCCAGGCAGAGGTTAGCAGGACCAAGAGATGGAAAGACATTCTTACTATCTCTGAAGCCTTGAGTCTACTCATGCTCAAGTTTCTCAGTATGATGAGTTTCCCCAAACCACCCTTTCTTTGGGGCACAAAGAAATTTTTTAAAAGAAATTAGGATCTATTTTTTAATACTTTTGTTTTATTTGTTTTTATGTGGTGCTGAGGATCAAACCCAGTGCCTCGCATGTATTAGGCAAGTGCTCTACTATTGAGCTACAACCCTAGCCCCTGGGCACACATAATTTGAGTTCAATTCTCATCCTTTTTCACTGAAAGAGTCTTGGCACTTAGTTGGTACTTAATAAATGTTGACCGTCTGAATAAATGAAAAGGCCAAATCACTTTTTTGATTCAGTAACAAAATCTATGGTTTCTAAGTCAAGAAGACTTAGAAACATCAGATTGTCTTAAGTCCTCCAAAGTATTAAGTGTCTCCTTTTGAGGCCTGATGGGAAGACTACCAGCCAGCAGTCTCTCTGACATCACACCCATCTGTCCTGGATGAGTACTATTTCCATTGAAAACCCCTGTGACATGTACCTGCATTGCTAGCCTGAGAGCATCTCAAGTATAGAGTCCCTGCTTTACTCATTCCCCAGCATCATGCAGTGATGATCACATTGGTATTAACAGTTCCCTGAAAGAAAAACTCCAGTTATTTTAGCAACAGCATTTGTTGCCAAAATGCAGAAAATAATATCAGAATGTGAGGGGAAAAAAAAGACCAAACAAGGAAGAACAGACCTATCATCCCTCATCCTGATAAAGCTTTTGGTATCACTTTTGAAAAAGGCATCAAGGAACTATATAGGCCTCTGATCCCCATTAGAATTCACAGGGAAGAAAGAGCATAGAATTCAAGCTCAGGGCTGGAAGTAGTCTACAATGGGCTAGATCCATTTATAGAGAGAAGACCAAGATGATTAAGAGATGTGTCCAGGAGTCCATTCGTAGAAAGCCTCGAGAAAGAAGGGTTTCTGATGATCCTAAATCAATGTGTGGTCCCATTTCCATAGACCAAACAAAAGAAGGTTTGACATTAGACATCTGAGTGGCAGTTGTAATGGGACCAGCACAGTCATTCAGTGTACTCAGGATGCTGCAGCCCTGACTGTGGAGAAGGTAAAGACCTTAAAGTCGCTCACTCCCCTGTTTCGCCTCTCATAGGCAATCATTTTGTATAAACCTGTGTACAAGAATGCCTAAGTTGGGTTACATTCCATTGTAACCTAAAGCTTGATAGAGATGGTTTTGTGCTAACATTGAGAGGCTTAATCATCTTCATCATAGTTGGTTCTTTGGCACAGATTCCAAAAATGTAAAAGGGAGAATTTATATATACCACAATCCACTTTCAAAAATAATTATTTTTTTTAATCAAGGAAAAGCACTATAGTTGAACTTCACATCAAGTCTGTAGGTAAATATCATTATCAGTTTACAAAACATCTTTAGTGGAGAAAGCATATCTATATATAAAAGTGAAATGTCAAGAATTTTAAAAGCAAATCCCTTCAATATTCCTCACCTAGTATGACAGGCTCCTAGAGACAAGCATTTCGTAATTCTTTCTGAAAGTGGTTGATTTCTATTTCTCTGTGGGTTTGAAGGTGCTCACTTTCCTCATTCTACTATCCTATAATTCTATCCCACAATGTTAATGGATCCACTTAAAAGAAAGACATATGGATTTTTACTTGAGAAGAAGAAGCTTGTTAAAATGTTTTAATAGAAACTTAATAGCACTGAAAAACCACAAGTGGGGTGAAAACATTCTAATGTTCACTTTACTTTTGTTGATTAAACATCCTAATTCTAGGGCTGGGGGTGGAGCTAAGTGGAAAAGCATGTGCTTAGCATGTGCAAGGCCCTGGGTAAAAACCACTGGAAAAATAAAAAATCCTAATTCGATCCAAATATGCTGTTTTAAAATATGTTAATTGTACAACCAGAGATATGAAAAGTTGTGCTGTATATGTGTAATAAGAATTGTAATGCATTCCACTGTCATTTATTTTTTAAAAAATCAATAAAATAAAATAAAATATGTTGACTGGGTGTGGCGGTGAATGCCTGGAATCCCAGCAGCTAGAGAGGCTAAGGCAGGAGGATCATAAGTTCAAAGCCAGCCTCAGCAACTTAGTGAGGCCCTAAGTAACTTAATAAGATCCTGTCTCAAAATAAGAAACAAAAAGAACTGGGGCTGTGTCTCAGGGGCTATGCACCCCTGGGTTCAATCCCTGGTACCAAAAAATAAAATAAAATGTTTTTGTTTGGTTAGCTGTTTGCAGTATTAGATTCAATCCAGGAGAATTTTACCACTGAGCTATATCTCTGGCCCTTTTTATTTTTTTATTTTGAGACAGGCTTTTTCTAGGTTTCCCAGGCTGGTCTCAAACTTGAGATCCTCCCCAGTCATCCTCCCCAGTCCCCCCAGTGGGATTACAGTCGTGCACCACCATGCCCAGCTATAAATATGTTTAAAGTTCAAAATCTAAATAAGTAGATACTCATAATGAATTAACGTTATCTTTGTGTATATGTCATGCATTGAGAAAATAGGAAATGTCTTATTGTGGGAAGCCATTCTCACACGTGATCGGGTGCCTCCCGTTGAGGGTCTGAGGCACTTTGGCATAAGTCGAAGTTTTTCCCGGCCCTCTGCTGATGAGAGAGCCCATCCGTGTGGGGGTGTGCCTGACCACTGACCCCGGGGACCCAATCGCTGACCCTGACCGTGGAGTGCAGCCCCCCCTCAACCTTCATTGGATGGAATTCTCCCCTGAATCTCTGGTTCCCTAATAAAAGGCTACTCCCCGGCGTGCTCGCTCTCTCTCTCCTGCTAGCCCTGAGTAATCCTTGCTGCCCTGCTGGGCGGCTAGAGGAGCGAACCAGAGAGGGGAGCCGTCTCGGACCTAGCAATAGAATTAAGGTAATTGAGTCTTGTGTTTTTATTTCGATCTCATCTAACTAACTTTATGCCTAGAACCTCATTAATGAAACCACTGCGCAGGCCGCGTGGTAGATCTTATTTTTTAATCGAAAGTGGAAACCTTTAGTTTCAAGCCTGCCACTCAGCATTCCCCAATGACATGTAGGTGGTTAGTCATACAGTGGGCCGGCCTCGTCCTGCTTACTGCACATTTGCAGCCAGGTGTGCAATCAGGTCTTTGGCATCTTGCATAGTAGAAGGTATCTCTGAGCCATTCTTGGTCACTTGAGTTCCAAACAAGAACAATTTTCTGTCATTTCCCACCTCAGATAATGCTAATGCTTCGTGGATATCTGTAATGTGATAGGCTGCCTCGAGATCCTTCACCCAGAATGGAAAAATAAGAAGAAAAAGTTGGTTATTTTGCATTCCTTTGGGATATACAGACTTACTATTTGTATTTATTGCTCTAATGACTTCACCATTTTAATACAGAGGATGTTGTGACCCCAATTGTGATGACACCAGTAGATGTTTGAATATAAATATTTTCACCAGAATTATGCCAGTATGGGGGTGGGTACTAGGGATTGAACCCAGTACCACTGAGTCACATCCCCAGCTCTTTTTATTTTATTTTTGAGACAGGATCTGATTCAGTTGCTTATGGCCTCACAAGGGTGCTGAGGCTATCCTCAAACTTGAGATCCTCCTGTCTCAGCCTCCTGAGTTGCTGGGATTTCAGGTGTGCACCACTGCACCCAGCTAATGCCAGCATTTATGTGTTATCAAACAAATGTTTTCTGGAATGAAGCTAATCCAATCTGATACCTTAATTTTCTAAACAGAGTCATCACTGTTTTTAATTCAAGATTATTTTCAACAGAATCAATTAATACAAATTTATATTTATCAAAAGGAATTTGATTCATTAGTTACTTTTGGTTCATATCATGTATTTCTGATTTTAGCACTTGCCATTGTGAGCTTTCTTTTCTGATCATTATTTCTACTGAACAAGAACTTTGGATCAAACTTTGGGAGGTAGAGGGAGACAGACAAGAGACCAGGGAGGGAGCAGATCCATCGAGATATAAGAGAACAAAAATGGTAGGGAGGGAGGCAAAGAGGAGGAGAGGGGCAAAGAGATGCAGCAGGGGCAGAATCCTCTAGGGAGAGCCACCTGGGCTTACGCTGCATGCCACTGTCAGACTCCTAGAGGTCAAAATGGAAAGATCCAAATATACTCCTCTGCCTCTCATGCATCCAGAAGTATTTAGACAAAAGGTCTCTGATATTTCTTTTAATAAATATTAAATCCCTATTGTTTTTGAGTCCATTGCAAAAAATGTTGGCGTCTTCACATCTAAAACTGCATTTGTAATTGGCTTTTTATTAATTCGCAGCATTTCTCTAAGCTTCAGAGTATCATTTTATCTATCTATCTATCTATCTATCTATCTATCTATCTATCTATCTATCATCTATCTATTTATTGAGATGGGGTCTCACTATGTTGCCCAGACTGGCCTCAAACTCCTGGGTTCAAGTGATCCTCCTACCTTAGCTTCCTGAGGAGATGGGACAAACGGGGGTGCCACTGCACCTGACCAGCAGAACAGTTTTCAAGTTCTAAAAATAATCCAATACTGAGTCATATTTTTCCTATGCCAATGTAGACCTACCAAATTCCACCACGGGGAGGCTTCATGATGTGCTGTAATTAGTAACTGGGAGGTGGTTACCCCTCTGAGTACTGGTAGTCACATACATTCACTGACTGTTCTAAACCTGAATAATTTACATGATCTTAGAGCCTATAATAATTTGTTTAATGGCATTAATAAATCCAGTAACATGGATAATGTCCCAGATTAAATAAGTTCTCTGATTGAATTGGAGCAGAAAAAATAGGAAGAGAAGGGTGGTAGGTGGGAACAAGGGCTCCCTATCATGATATAACACATAAGATATAAATACAGGGTTTATTCCATGCTTATATAATTGGGCCTTAATAGAGTTAATAATGCAAAGAGTAAAGATAAAAAAAGATGACTTCTTTGAAAACCCTTACATAAAAACTTGAACTTGGGGTTGGGATTGTGGCTCAGCAGTAGAGCACTCGCCTAGCACACGGGGGGGGGGGGGGGGGCCTGGGTTTGATCCTCGGCATACATGAAAATAGGTAGATAAAATGGAGGTATTGTGTCCAACTACAACTAAAAAATAAATATTAAAAAAACTTGAACTTAGCTAAAATAATAGACTAAATATTTTGGCCAAAGAATATAAACAAAGATAAATTGAGCTCTTGTTATGGTATGAATATGAAGTGTCCCTCAAAAAGCTCATTCATTAGGCAGTGCAGGAATGTTCAGAGATGAAATAATGAGCTTATGAGAGCTGTAATCTCATTAATGGGTCAATCCATTTGATTTATTAATAATTTAAATGGACTACTGATTGTAACTGCAGGCTGATGGTGTGTGGCTATGGAAATAGGTCACATGGTGGTGGTGGGTGGCCTTGGAATGTATCTTGTCCCTGGCTCCTCTCTTGCTCTTGGTTGTCATGAATTGAGCAGCTTCCTCTGTCATACCTTTCTACCATGATATTTTACCTCCTCTTGGGCCCAGAGCAATGGGATCAGATTGATCATGAACTGAACCTCTGAAACTTAAAGCCCCAAATAAACTTTTTCTCCTCTAATTGTTCTTGTCTGGTGTTTTGGTCACAGTGATGAAAGGCTAACTAACACAAACTAGAATATACAGATCTTTTCTCATTAAGGTTCAATAAAATTATAAATTTGACAATGAATTGCCTTGTTGATTTAATTTGATGAAGAGACAAATCACAAAAGAAAGTACTGATAAATTAAAAATAGAAATCTTCAATATGAAAATGTAAACTATAAGTAAAATAAAATGACATGCCACCAGAATGCTGAAGAAGATAGTAGAAAAGCATGTGACTAACAAAGAATGCTTTTAAAGACTCCTATAATTCAAACAAGAAAAGATAGAGGGGCTAGAGGTATAACAGAGTGGTAGGAAACATGCGTAATATATGTGAAACACTGGGTTCTACCCCCAGCAAAACACACACACACACACACACACACACACACACACACACACATGATAAATACTCTAATAAGAGTTTGGAAAAAGATACTAATAAATTCACTAATGTGGAGATCAATAAACACCTGAAAAATATTTAAGCTCACTAGCACTTAGAGAAATATAAATTAGAATAATAAAAAACAATTCTGCCCCATCATATTGGCAAAAATACCAAGTACTGACAAAGATATAGAGTTCCAAAAACTGTCACCTTCTGCCAATGGGAGAATGAACTGGTATAACATCTTTGGAAAGCAACTTGATAAGATCTAGTCTAATTTACCATTTATAAATACAAAAAAACCAATAATTGTTCTTTTAGGCATATGCACCAGGAAAATGTTCACAGAGATCTACAAGGAGACACATATATTTGAAGGCTCATTTGCAACATTGTTTATAACAATGAAAAATTGAAAATAATTCAAATACACAACAAGAAAATGGCAAGACTGTGGTATATTCATTCGTGCAATGGAATAGTGTACAGCTCACATTTATCATGACTTTTAAAATCTTTGCTATTATTTATTTATTTATTGTTTATTGATGTTGGAACTGGCAATAGAACCTAGGGCCTCATGCATGCTAAGCACATCTTCTACCACTGAGCTATACCTCCATCCCCAAATCTTTATAGTTTATGGTATTTAAAATGCTCCTCTTAAAAATAAAAACAAAACAGCACGAGTGTTTCTTTCAAAATGTTAACCGAATGTCAAAATCTGCTGAACTAGTTTCCACAAGGGACTTGAACTAGGCTCCTACTTTGGGTCATCATTTGGGATTAGTTAGTTTATTTCCACAAATATTCACTCATAGAAGTCATAAAAGAAAAAGTAGGAATTGAGCTGTTTTATAATCGGCAAACCTAGCCATTGAGAAAGGGGCTTAAGTAATACAATGTTATGGAAATTCACTTTTTTAAGTATTATTTTTAGTGATGAACATAACATCTTTATTTTTTTATGTGGTGCTGAGGATCGAACCCTGTGCCTCACACTCGCTCCACCACTGAGCCACAACCCCAGCCCTTGGAAATTCATTTTTAAATTTTTTTTAATTGTGAAAAGTGCACGTAACAAAAGTTACCATCTTAACCATTTTTCAGTGTACAGTGCCATTAAATACATTCACATTGTTGTGCGACTATCACCCAAACTCTCTTAATCTTGCTAAACTGAAACTCTGTGCCTATCAATTAATTCCCCCATTCCTCCATCCCATAGCTCCAGGAAACCACCATTCTACCCCGTATCTTAGTGGATTTGACTTTTCTGGGAGCCTCAATAAGCAGAATTTTTCAATATTTGTCCTTTCTTGGCTGGCTTATTTCGTGTAACATGATGTCTTAAAGGTTCATCTGTGTTGTAATATGTCAGAATTTCCTTCCCTTTTAAGGCCAAGTAATATTCCATTGTATGTAAGTACCATGTTTTGTTTTTCTGTTCATCATTGGATGGACTCTTGGGTTGCTTCCACCTTTTGGCTACTGTAAATAGTGCTATATAAATACCTGTTTGAGAAGTACTTTCAGGTTTTTTTGTTGTTGTTGGGGGGGGGCGGGGTGGAGATATATGCCCAGAAGTGGAATTGCTGCATCATATGGGAACCCTATTTTTTTTATTTTTTTGAGGAGCCACAATATTATTTCCCATAGCAAGTATACAATTTTACATTCCAACAGTGCACAGGGGTTCCAATTTCCCCATCGATATTTAATATTTTTAACATGTGTATGAAATAAATTCAGGTCAATCTAGTTGGTCTAAAACAAAACTATTTCTTTATACATGGAAACCTCTCAAATATTTTGTTGGATTCAACCATTAATACATGTTTATTAAAATAAGTTCAACAGACCTTTGCTGAATTCCTACTATGCACAAAGCAGTCTACTTAGGAACTTCAAAGGACACCAAAATTCATAACAGTCATTACGCTCAAGGAGTTTATAACCCAGGGAATCTAATAAGTCAAATTGAATATGCAGCATATTATTGAGTATCTAGCTATTAAAAATAGACATTTCTTGTATTAGTAAACAAAGTATTGAGTGTGATTTATATTTGCACAGATTTTTACCTGTTTGTGTGCAAACACAACCAGAGGAAGGATTGGATTTGCTTCTGTTAGTTGGTGAAGGAATTTTTTGGCTTCAGGTAATCGATTGTGATCTGCTGAATCCACCACAAAGATCAGCAACAATCCCTTGGACAGGTACATTTCCCAGTAGGAACGGAAAGGCTCGCTGCCGCCAACTACAGAGAACAGTAAAGGAAGAAGACACCAACAAATCACAGGAGCATTCACCCAGGACAGTCTGGGCACACTGGACAGGTGTTCCAACAAAATTCCACTGTGTGAGAAGATACCCAATTCTGAGAGCAATGAGAGGGACATTGCTGGGAAATAGCCATTGGGAATGAGTACCCTTCACAGTGGATCATTCATTTTGGAATCAGAAAGGATATTTGTTCAGATATTAAATATTACAGTGGGTGTCTTCTGATCCTGACATACACAGCAGACTCACAGCCACTGCAAGTTCATCAATGGGAATGGGCTACTGAAATAGTTAAAGGTGGTAGGTTAAAGCACAAGTTGTGCTGGGCACAGTAGTGTATGCCTGTAATCCCAGTGGCTTGGGAGGCTGAGGCAGGAGGATTGTGAGTTCAAAGCCAGCCTCAGCAACTTCACAAGTCTGAATAACTCGTTGACTCTGTATCTAAAAAATACAAATAAAGGGCTGGGAATGTGGCTCTGTGGTTAAGTGCCCCTGGTTCAACTCCCAGTATGGGGGAAAAACAAACAAACAAAAAACACATATCACTCTGATTTTTAAATGGACTAAACTTCTTGGCTACCCTCATTTGCATAATTCTTTTCCGATGTCAGAATCCTAGAACTAATTTCTATTTTTAATATTGCATTAAAAGGAAATATGATCTTAAGGTATTCAGGAATATTTGCCTTAGAATAAAAATGCCTTTAGATTACAGAAATTGGCTGGGGATGTGGCTCAAGAGGTAGCGCGCTCGCCTGGCATGCGCGGGGAGCTGGGTTCGATTCCCAACACCACATAAAAACAAAAAATAAAGATATTGTACCCACCTAAATACTAAAAAAATAAATATTTAAAAAAAATAGATTACAGAAATTCATTCTGCTGATTCTTCCCATAGGAAACTTTTTGGTAATGATAATATACAAAATGAATTTAGCTTTTATTTTTCTCCTAGGATGGGGTTTGGCAGACCATGGTCCCATATTCAAATCTAACCAGCCACCTATTTTTGTATAGCTCACAAGCTAAAAAGGCTTTTTTACACATTTAAATGTTTTTTTTTTAAAAGAATACCATATTACAACTGTGAATATTCTATCAATTTTAGATTCTAGTGTCCACAAATAGTTTTATTGGAACACAATATGTTTTGATTTATATATTATATGTGGCTACTCTTATACCACAAGGGCAGTTTACTGGTTACAACAGAGACCATGCGGTCCACAGAGCTCAAATTATTTACTACATAGCCATTGATAGAAAAAGCTTTCAGATCTCTGTAACAGCAACTTAACAAAAGCCATTTTAAACACTAATAAGAAATGATTTACCTTTCCTTGTTTTCTTTTGCATCTCTCTAGGCTAGTCATTCTTCTAAGTATTTTGTGCTTTCATTTGTTAAACTATTTTGAAAACTTCTAAGTAATTCTGATGGTTTTAACACAATTTAAACATCCATGGATATTGGGTTATTCCTCATTTATTGTTACCATAAACAATGCTGCTGTAAAGACTTTTGTATTTGTTTCCTGGTGTGGATATGCGTGAAAGGAAGGCCAACTATGCTAAATTGTTTTCTAAAGTGGCAGGTTCCAATTTATGTTCCACCAATGGCCAATAAATTTCCTTTGGATTCACATTCTCTTCAAAACTTGGTATTAATCTGATTGATTTGTGTGTATGTGTGTGTGTGATCTTCTTTCAGTGTTTTCCAATGACATCTGCAAATTCTCTCTCTCTCTCTCTCTCTCTCTCTCTCTCTCTCTCTCTCTCTCTCTCTTGTGCGCGCTCCTGCGCCTAATTTGAATTCTCTTGCTTAATGATCATTAAACATTTTTTCATGTTTACTTCTAATTTGTTTCATGTGAAATGTTTTTTATGATGTCTAAATTTTTTCATAAGAGTTAACATATTCTGATTACTGTCTGTTTATTGGTTATATGTGTTGCATGTATCTTCTCCCATTTTGTGGCATCTTTTTTATGAGCAGAAGTTCCCAATTTTAATGTAGTTGATTTACCCATCTGTCTTTATCCATTTTTATATCCTGTTTTGTATTCTGCATCTGTCTTTTTCTACCCTGGAGACATAAAATATTCTCTATTTTCTTCACAAAGCTTTTTACATTAGACTTTTATCCATCTGAATTTGATGGATACATATGTATATAAAGAGGCTGGTAAACAATTTCACTTTTTTCTCATGTGCCATCACCATTTGTTAAACAGCCTCTCTTTTCCCCAGAAGATCTCTACTCTGTACATTTGGTCACTTTGCTCATTCCTGTGCCAACACCACACAATGTTAATTTTAAAGCTTTATAATAAGATTTGATATTTGACAGAATAAGGCTGTCTTTCTTACTCATTTCTTCAAGAGTGTCCAGCTTTTTTTATACCTTTATTCTTCCATGTAAGTTTTAGTCTCAGCTTCTCAAACTCTTAAAAAAAGTTTTATCGGGATTTTGATTGGAATTGAATTATATCTAAACATAAATTTGGAGGAGAATTAACATCTTTTTAAGTTTTGCTTTCAAAAATTTTTTTTAGTTGTAGATAGACACACATATGTTTGTTTATTAGTTTATTTTTATGTGGTGCTAAGGATTGAACCAAGTGCCTCACACATGCCAGGCAAGCACTCTACCACTGAGTTACAGCCCCAGCCCATGAATTAACATCTTTTTGATGTGCTGACTTCCTATTCATGGAAACTATGTCACCATTTATTTAGATCTTCTTTCAGTGTTTTCCAATGACATCTGCAAATTCTCTCTCTCTCTCTCTCTCTCTCTCTCTCTCTCTCTCTCTCTCGTGTGTGTGTGTGCGTGTTTAGCTAGTTGAGGACTAGCTAAATTATGTACATTGCTATCAAAAATGATATCTTCTTGAAAATCATATATGCTAAACTATGCATAGTAGTGCATGCCTATAATCCCAGCAACTAGGGGAATCCTCCCAGCAGGAGGACAGCAATTTTGAAGCCAGTCTCAGCAACTTAGTAAGGCCCTAAGCAACTAAGAAAGACCCTATCTCAAATCAAAAATTAATTAATTAATTTAAAAGGCTGGGGGGCTGGGGTTGTAGCTCAGTGGTAGACCACTTGCCTACCACGTGTGAGGCACCAGGTTCCATCCTCAGTACCACATAAAAAATAAATAGAAGTATTGTGTCTATCTACAACCAAAAAAAATTTTTTTTAAATAAGATAAATAAAAGGTTGGGTGTGTAGCTTTGTGAAAAAGTGCCCATAAGTTCAACCGAAGAAGAGGGAAAAAAATCATTTTCTGCATGTTGCTGGATAACAGAAGTGTAATTGACTTTTTAAAGTAATTTGACAGGTCTTCTAGGTTTCCTTTAAAGAAAATTACAACATTCATAAACAAGAACTGTTTTGTTTCTTCCTTTCTAATCCTAATGCCTTTTCTTTGTATTGAACTGACTTAGACTTTCTGGGTAATGCTGAATGAAAATACTCTTGTTGGTCCTGGATTTCAAGGGGCCATACTTCTAATACTTTATGTTGAGGAATCCTGTGTTCTGAAGTGTTGGTGGGTTAAGGAATTGCCATTTATTTTTAGTTTATTAAGAATTTTAAAATCATAAACAGAATTGAATTTTGCATTTTTTTCTGCTTTTATTGAGGTTATCATATATATTTCTCTAGTTAACAATGTAGTAAATGACATTTATAGGGTTTTTTGGGGGATGGGTACCACAGGTTGAACTCAGGGGCACTCAACCACTGAGCCACATCCCTAGTCCTCTATTTTGTATTTTATTTAAAGACAGATGCTCACTGAGTTGCTTAGATTTTTCAAACCTTTTGTTTCTGGAGAAGCCGAGCTTGGTTATGATATATTTTCTCTTTCATATACTAACTGGATTTGGGTTTACTACAATTTTGTTTGGATTTCTGCTTCTATGCTCATGAATTTCCTTTTTTCGATCCTCAGCACCACATACAAACAAAGATGTTGTGTCCGCCGAAAACTAAAAAATAAATATTAAAAAATTCTCTCTCTCTCTCTCTCTTTGAAAAAAAAAGATTGATAGAGTTTACCTATGAAATCAACTTATCTAGTGTTTTCATTATAGAGAGATTTTTTTTCTTTTTTCTTTTTTTTTGGTGGTGTTGGGGATTGAACCAAGGGCCTTGTGTTTGTGAGGAAAGCTGAGCTATATCCCCAGCCCTAGAGTGATTTTTAGCTAATGATTTCATTTTAACTTTTTAAAATTATTCAATGTCTTATTTTTATTTATTTTCCACATTTTTATTGGTGAACTATAGTTGTACACAATGGTATGATTTATTTTTACATATTTGTACTTGCACTCAATATAATTTGGCCAAGAGTTTTTATTTCTTCTTGAATCTGCTTTTGTAATATATATATATCTATTAGCACAGATGTAAATATACTCTTGACATCTTTTTTTCATTTGAGACATTAGTTGTGCTTTCTAGATTTTCCTTGATAAATTTCATCAGAAGATTGTCTATTTTGTTTATCTTTCAAGGAACTAACTTTTGACTTTTCTGATCTTTGCTACTGTATTTTTGTAATTAATTTCATTGGTTTCTTTATAATCTTTCCTTCTACCTTCTTTGATTTTAGCCTGTTGTTCTTTCCTAATCTACATCATATATTTAACCCATAAGTTTTCAGCTGTTTTTTTCCTAGCTATAAGCATTTAAGATTGTAAATTTCTTTAAATGCATTATTATTTTTTTTTTGGCATGCCAATTTTGACCAATAGATTTTGTCATTGTTATTTTTACCAATCATTTGTTCTGAGTATTTTTAAATTCCCATAATGATTTTATCTTTGAACTATGAGTTATTTAAAAGTGAACCTAGGGGCTGGGGATGTGGCTCAAGCGGTAGCGCGCTCGCCTGGCATGCGTGCGGCCCGGGTTCGATCCTCAGCACCACATACCAACAAAGATGTTGTGTCCGCCGAGAACTAAAAAATAAATATTAAAAAAAAAAAAAATTAAAAAAAAAAGTGAACCTACCTATCATTGGAAGGGTTTTTGTTTTTTTGGTACTGAGGACTGAACCCAGGAGTGCTTAGCCACTGGGCTTACAACCTCACCCTCCCTTCTCCTTTTTTTTTTTTTTTTTTTTTCTTATTTTGAAGCAGAATCTCACTAACTTGTTCAGGGCCTCACTAAGTTGCTGAAGCTGACCTCAAATTTTCTATCTTCCTGCCTCAGCCTCCCCAGCCACTGGGATTATAGACGTACACCATTGCACCCAGCTAATTCATTGAAGGGTTTTAAGTTAGCAATGGATTTGCTTAAATACATGGGTTAAAATATTTCTCTTCACAAATGGACAAAAGCAAAAATAAAATGATGACTGCAGGAAACTGAGGAACAGGTGAGGGAGGTTTTGGCTCATTTGCAGGCAGTGGAAGAGGATGACACTGACAAATTCTAATTATGCTTTGGAGATACAAAGAGTCAATATGCTTCACTTGTTGTCTGAAGGCAGGAGTAGAGAAGGAGGAATCAAGGGGGACTCCCAGATTCTGCCTTGAGCAACTTGACGAGTAAGGAGTCACTTAATGGCCAGTGGATTACAGGTAATGAAACAGACAGGAGGGGATAAGTCAAACATTTTTGTTTAATCACATGGTTTGAGAGGCCGATTAGGCAATCAAGTAGAGATGTCAGGGGATATTTGGATATGTTTGGGCTAGATAGGTCAATTTAGGGGGCTCATTATCATATAGATAGTATTAAGTGCCATGAAGATGGATCAAGTCATCCAAAGAGAGAGTGTAAGAGAAGAACCCAGGAGGCTAAGATAGGAGAATCACAAGTTCAAGGCCAACCTGGGCAATTAATGAGGGCCTCATCTACTTAGGGAGATCCTGTCTCGAAAAATAAAAAGGTCATAGGACTGGGGATGTGGCTCAAGTGGTAGTGTGCTCACCAGGCATGCGCGGGGTGATGGGTTCGATCCTCAGCACCACATAAAAATAAAAAAAAATAAAGATGTTGTGTCCACCAAAAACTAAAAAATAATTATTAAAAAAAATTATCTCGGGCTGGGGATGTGGCTCAAGCGGTAGCGCGCTCGCCTGGCATGCRTGCGGCCCRGGTTCGATCCTCAGCACCACATACAAACAAAGATGTTGTGTCCGCCGAAAACTAAAAAATAAATATTAAAATTCTCTCTCTCTCTCTCTCTCTCTCTCTCCCTCTCTTTAAAAAAAAATTATCTCTCTCTCTCTAAAAAAAAATTTTAAAAATAAAAAAATAAAAAATAAATAAAAAGGTCAGGAATATAGCTCAGTGGTAAAGCACTGAGAGAGAGAAAAGACAAGGGAAGATCTGACCCAACTTTGGGGCACAGCAACATCTAGCAAGATGGTGACTTCAGCATTGCTGCACAGTAGGGACTTTGGGACTGCCATCTAGTTGGAAGAAGAAGTTTGGGGTTTCTGTATAATTTCATTTGCAGAGAAGGAAGCACACTGTACTTACTTAGGCTGCATGTTTATTTGCTGTAGTGTGGAAAGAGGGAGGCCCGTTATAGATTATAGGAGGACATGCTAAAGCCTTCCTTTAACCTCCCCTGTCTCCATCACTGCAAAAAAGGAGACAATTAAAAAAGCAGAAAGTGATTCCTAACTCCCACCCTAGGGCATCTTAGTATTAAACCACACATGCATCCTAAAGTTTATGTAAATCTGATCCAGCATCATAAGAATCCAGTCGATAACACCACGTCTAGCTTAACATAAAGAAAGGCTACCAGATAACTAGTGAGGAAATAGAGCTTACTCTCCAGGAACTCCATTTGGTTGTCTTCAATGTCGATGCAAACGGGATTGAAACCTTGGGTGGGTGCCTTGCTATGCTGGACTTTGTTTAAAGCTAGAGAATCGAGGATGCTGGTTTTCCCTGCTCCATCCAGGCCTAGAACTAGGATCTGCTTACTTTTGTCCTGTGAAACAAAAGATAAATCAATAAACCTATGCCATCAGGTCCTTGTTTTCCTAGCTCCTAATAGTGTGCCTTCCTGTGCTAGTACCTAATAATAATCATGGAATTGCCAACCAGAGAGGAACTTAACATTTTATAGGCCAAGACCAAACCACCAATCACCTAATGTTTTCACATAACCATTACTACTATGTGACTATTAATCTCACATACCCTCTCCATCCCCCAACTCCTGGTCAGTCTATCACATACACCAACACACATTTACACCAGTATTTATGGAAGGTTCTAGAGGTCTTAGAGTCAATTTCGAGACTTCCTGTTCATGTCCTTTGGAGATTGTACCAGAATTTGGTTTGGTTTTCGGGGTCTTGGGACCTCCATGGTGCACACATCCACTATACACTCAGCATGCAAGCATTTAAGGTCTCATGTTATTATTAATCTATCTTTTCTTCACAAGTAGATAACTTGATTATAAAATGTTAGTGCAAGTTTCCCCTCTTATATTTTTAAGTATCATGATTTAATGATATTAAAGCATCCTACCCATATGTCAGCCTCAATTTTTATTGCCATGGACTGAGGGACCACAAGGGAAGTCTCATGAGAAGACAGAAATACAGTTAAAAGTGCCTAGAGATGTGGTCTCTACAGTGCAAAGATTGTGAGATTAATAGTCACATAGTAGTAATGGTTATGTGAAAACATTAGGTGATTGGTGATTTGGTCTTGGCCAAAGATTAAGAAGTGAGCCAGACTGCTCAGAGAAACTCCATTCTATTTCCCAAACAGCTTAATAAAGATGTTTCCATGGGTCTAGAGCCACTTTTTGGTTCTAAACAGTTTTAATTATTAAAGGAAATTTGATATCTGGTAAAACACAGGTTATGTAGATCTAAAATACTAGCAATTATCTTTAATGGCACTTGTTTAGAAATAACAATAATCTTATACACCCTGCTTGTTCTGCTTGAACACCAAATGTTGACATTAGACTTAGATTGCATTTCTGGAGGGAAAAAAAGTGATCTTAAACAGTATTAGAATGTCTATAACCACTTCTTTAAAAAAAAAATCTATGTGAAAGTAAGATATTTTAAGTTCTGCCATAATAGGTATTTGGGTAAACAACTTTTTTTTTAAGTTGGACACAATATCTTTATTTATTTTTATGTGATACTGAAGATCAAACCCAGGGCCTCTCACATGCTAGGTGAGTGCTTTACTGCTGAGCCCCAGCCCCAGCCCAACAACACAATTTTTGAAGGCCATACATTTTAGAGTGAATTCTTTTTTTATTTTTTTAAATATTTTTAGTTGTAGAAGGACACAACACCTTTATTTATTTATTTAATTTTATACGGTGCTGAGGACCAAACCCAGTGCCTCACACATTTTAGGCAAGTGCTCTACCACTGAGCCACAACCCCAACCCCTAGAGTGAATTCTTGATGGCTCTGAAAGTGAATGATATTTTCATGGATCTCTCCTATCTCCATCCCTATGTCCTTCCCCATTCTCTCCATCTACATCTACACGTTAAAATGCCATTCTTAGGGCTGGGGTTGTGGCTCAGTGGCAGAGCGCTTGCCTAGCATGTGCGAGGCACTGGGTTCGTCTCAGCATCACATATAAATAAATAAAGGCCCATAATAACTAATAAAAATATTTTAAAAATGCCATTCTTAGAAAGTGCTAGGGTAAGGAAGAAGGACTTGATGCACAAAGGAGACTTTGTTGAATGCTTTAAAATTATATGGTTTAAAGCAGTAGCAGCACCAAAAAATGGCTGCAGGCATGGATTGTGTTCTCTCACCATTTTGAAGGGGCCCCCACTCAGGTTACCCCAACATACTTCATTACATATTCATTATATATTCATTCCATAGTACATCCCTTCCTCATTTTAATATGCTGAAAATAGGATGTTTTTAAAATCTATGGTATGTCCTATTTTGGTTGGTAGCATTTTTTTTCTTTCTTAGGGATTCCTAAAATAATGATGTACTAGGTCCTTGAAACATTGTGAGTTAAAAACAGTTCCCTACTCCTTTTCCAACCACATTGCCACACCTAAACCCATTCTACCTAGAAATTCTGCATTAATGTTTTACATTTTGTTATATTTTCGGTCTAAAATACAAACATTGGGCTGGGGATGCAGCTGAGTGATAGAGCATATTCCTAAGATTTTGGGTTCAATCCTCAGCACCAATTAATTAATTAATTAAAATAAAATGTATTATCCTCATGTCTATCCCCTCCTAGGGAAACCTAAGATAGTTGTAAATCAAGAGTTCAGATGCAAAATGTGATGCTGAACACGATCATTCTGTGTCAAAAGTAATTTTTTTAGGACTGGGGATATAGCTGAGTTGGTAGAGTGCTTGCTTCATTTGCATCAATCCCCAGCACCACAAAAGAAAGAAAAAATGTTATTCCTTTAGCCATACATAGATCTACGTAGCCTGTGTTTTACCAGATATCAAATTTCCTTTAATAATTAAGACTGTTTAGAACCAAAAATGGCTCTAGACCCATGGAGCCAACCAGAAACGCAGAGCCCATCTAGCTGACCCTCACAATGCCTGGGTTCTCACACCTCTCCGTTAAAAATTCTGGGTGCTGATGGTTTGAAAACCATGCAAGCAGTAACCACAGCGCCTTACAGAAAAGAGCCAGAGAGCCCCCAAACACATCCTGCATAAATTCAGGAACACTGCCGCTTCTGACAAGCGGAAAGAGCCTGCGTGCACGGAGCGTCCGGGACTGGTCTCTGGGTTGGCAGATGGTCTGGGAGCTCAGCACTGAATGCCCGGCAGAGGCAAAAGGCGTCACTTTTGAAGACCAGTGAAGATCTCTGGTCCCTCAACATTAGAATCTGTTAGGACACAGGGTACAGGAGTGAAGCAGGGGAGAAGGGGAGGACAATGGGATGTTCGTAGCTCGACACAATCCCTCCGATCCTTAGGTGGAAAACCCTCTGTTGAGGCCCAGTTCCCCCTGCGCAGGTCTTGGGGTCTGACGTAACAGAGCCGGGCCTTGGAGGCAAGGGTCCCAGGTACCTGGTTTTCTACGGATGACTCCAGAGGCGTCTCTGTCTTGGTGCTGTCGCTCTTCTCTACCTCTGGTTTTTCTTTAAATTGCTCATTCTTGGCTGCTGTCTCCTTCCCTTGCTCTTTCTCCTTTTCCTGCTCATTATCTTTTCTTAGCCACTTCTCTTCCTTCCCTTTCTCTTTCCCCTTTGACACTTCTTTCTTTCTCTCTTCTTTTCCTTTCACCTTAATTTTCTCCTTCGCCACTTCCTTAGCCTTCCCTTTCTTCACATTCTCCATTTCCACCGCTCCTGTTTGCTTTCTTTCCTCTGCGCGCCCGCGCGCAGGAGTTGCAGCCTCGGGTCCGGGCAGGTGTGGCCTCCTCGCGGGGCGCAGGGCGGAGACGTAGGTCCACAGGGCGTAGGCCACACCCGTGGTCACCACGGCCGCAGCTATTCCCAGTGCGTACAGCCTGAGGTCTGGCATTTCGCACTAGCTCGCCTGTCCAGGGCGACTGGCAGTTGATTCGCCGAACCCGGGGGTGAGGAGGAGGGACCCCAAATGGAGTTGAAATGGGCGGGGGTTCTAGCGGGTGGATCGAGCCCAGCCCAGAAGAACCCAGAGGTCCCAACCAAGAGTTGGGAGAGCGACGGGCTTGGCTTATTATCACCGCTGCCGGAAAAACGTACCTAGGCGTCACCAGCTCTTGAGGGAAACGCCTTCCACCTAAGCAGGGTCCAGAGCGACCTTAGCCTCCGACCTCTCCAGCTTCAAACCCCGAGCCTGCTCTGCCAAGCTGGCGTCCTCAACCTGCAGAACGCCTACAGCGCCGGCGTCCTCCTTCGGCTCACAACCAAAGCCAAGCTAAGTTGTGTATCTCCCCTCCACATGCAAGTAAACGCCACTTAGCCACGTCTAAAGGGTTATTGGTTAAGGACAGAGTAATGTCTTAAATTCTAGTTTCAGGGCTGGGGATATAGCTCAGTTGGTAGTGTGCTTGCCTCCCTATGCACAAGGCCCTGGGTTCAAACCCAGCACCACACCAAACACACACACACACACACACACACACACACACACACATTTATTTATTTATATGTAAAATTTCCGGAGATTAAGTACCCCGCCAGGATTCTGGCTGCTAACAAAGTATAGGTTAGCAAAACCTGAACTAGGCAAAATAGTATAATTTACCCCAGCCCAGGATAGAGTATGTAGTAAATTTGGCATCCAATGGGAACTTTCAGAGGTGATGTGGGGGCTGCAGGGCAATTGCCTGTTATGTAGGAGGCCTTGGATTCCACCCCCTAGCACTGTCAATTAATTAAAAGTATAGTTTATACATGCAATAAACTGATTTTTCTTCATCAGATCTATTTCAGATAGGCTTGTAAGGAACAATGAATAGCAGGTTTCACAAGCCTTGAGCGATGCAGTGGTTTTGGTTGTTGTTGTTAATATTTTGTAGTTGTTGTTAGACACCATATTTTTATTTATTTATTTTTATGTCGTGCTGACGATGGAACCCAGGGCCCAGTACTTTCTAGGTGAGCCCTCTGCCGCTGAGCCACAACCCCAGCCAGATGCAGTGGTTTTTAAGGTTAGCTGTTCAGAGTTTTATTAAAAAGACTGATTAAAAACTTTTAAATGCTGTTTTGTTTATACCCATGTCAACATGATATATTTTCAGCGGAGTTTAAACTGGGTTCCTGCAATCCCATTAGATTGGCTTTCTGGCTCTGCTGGGAGGGGAAGGAGACAATTTTAGATAGTTTGAAAGAAAATTCTTAGATGTACTTACCAAGAAGTCCTCCCCAAAATGCCAACACTCAAAACACAATTAATTATCCATAGTCACTGCTAGAATATTTTATTTTAAAATGTGCCATAGTGAATGGATGTATCCACACTGGTTTTTATAAATGTACACATACAACATGTATATACAAAGTATATATGTCACTGGTTAAAGCCCTGTCCAAAAGAGGAAATAATTGATGGTGTTAACACTTCATTTGACAATAACTTATTTGTTTGAACTGAAATTTCAGTTGCTTAGCAATGACTAATACCAATGGCTGCCAAAAACAATGACTAAATAGAGAACTGTAAATTTCACTGTTGTGCCTTAGGTCAAAATTTTCAAAGATGGATAATTTTCACCAAGATTCTGTTGCTTAGTTAACCTAAAAAATTATTATCTTTAACCATAGAAATTTAATGGAATTCTAAATAACAGATTTACTAACAATCATTCCTATACTGCAGTATATATTCAGAAGGAATAAATATTTGTCACTCTTACCAAGAGACTGTTCTCTGTTTAGCTCAAAAGTATAACATAATAAATCATTCTTATTTTAAGACCTCATGTTTAGATGCCACTGCAGATTCTGATTATGTTAAACAGAAAGGCAGCACCCCATTTCTTATTTTAAAGATGGAAAGCCTTTATAGAAACCCTTTGAAGAAGTTTCAGTAGATGTGTTCAGAATCTAACACAGCAGCACTTTATTAACAAGGACAGAGTAATTTGATCACAAGGAAATACTCATAAGTCTTAAATAAATTATACTTGGGCAGCATAAAATGAATATTAAACAAGGGGAGGCACCCCAGTAACTGTCTCAGAGCTGTTGAATGTGAAGGTGGCTTGTGAACAAGGAAAGACAAGAACAACATTCACACCACAAACTGATTGTAAAATACTTCATTACTTAGAGAAAGGTAATGAAAGGTCAAAACCCATAAGGAAAGAGAAGCCATTAGAGTATCTATTAATTGGGCCAAACAGTCCTGTTAGATCTTAATACTGCTTGGTATTGATTTCCTGTCTATGTAATGAAGTCAATGTTTTATGTTCTTGATAGGGGCTATCAATCTTTCTGATTAAGAAAGTCCAAACCCATCTGACCTCATAACACTAGGTCAAAGAGTCAACTTCTTACAACATTGATATATTTTGAGATATTGAATGGTGCTAAATCAACATTAACATAATCTGAGAATGAAAATGATAAGGGGCACAAAGGAACCATATACACATATGAATAATATTCCATATTCCAGTATCACATGACAGAATTTATGGTCAAAATTATTTAAAACATTTACTTTAGTCTTTTTGTGGTCATTTAATTAAGTGAAGAACACTAGTGTTTTGGTAAGGTTCCTTCTTATCACATGATATTTTTAACTCAATACTTAGAATGCTCAGAAGATTCCACTTTCAGCCTCCTAGGGCCATGTAAGACATAATTTAAAGTGGGACCTAAAATAGCAACAAGTGTCTTCAGACTCTAGTAGAAACAGTTTCTGTTTAAATCCTGGGAGACCTTAGGTAACATGCCTTATTTGTGAAATGGAAAAAAGATCAAATCAGCACACAAAGATAAAGGGTGCAACAGATATCAAAGTGGTGTATGCCTGATCATCTCCAGTCCTCATAATCTGTGCAAACATAGGCAGTTCAAATGACCAAACCTGACTAGGCAGTTTGAGAAAGGTGTTTTCCTATTTGATGCACAAGAAATTATTTTATGAAAATACGTGGATATAAGAGGGAGCAGTTCTGTGCTTCTTGCTGTGTTACCTTTATTATGTTCCTAGTATATCACTGAGGCTATTTAAAAACAGCCTGCAACAAGGACATTCTATCACCAGCCACCTTTTCCTCCTTTCTTCTTTTTCTGTTGCTGTTTCTTTTTTGTTGCCGGGGCCCCTGCAGGTTTTTGGTGTCTTGGGGGTATGATGTTACTTGTAGAGGCAGAGACTGTTGCTGCACTGCCAGGTCTTGGAGAGGTGGGTGGGCTGCTCACAGTTTTACTGGCATCCCTGAAATCATCAGACCAGAAATATTTTGGTCATTCATAAATTCAACAAAGAAAAAGGGTATATACAAGTGTTCTACTTTCCATATCTAACAATTTTCCACTTTGTTTAAGGTACGTCTCTGATTCCTCACCCTTTTTCTTTCGTTTCTTTTTTTTAGCAGTACTAGGGATTGAACCTAGGGATGCTCTACGTATCTAACCTATTGGAACAGGTTCTCACTAAACAGTCCAGGCTGGCTTGAACTTGGAATTCTCTGGCTCAGCCTCCCAAGTAGCTGGGATTAACCATAACTGGCTTTCGCCATTCTTTGAACAAAATTTTTACTGTTTGTAACTAAAAAACTATATATCATTCATGCCCATTTTTAGAAAACTTAAAGAAGATTAAAAAAATTATTCTGGGCATGGTGGCATATGCTTGTAATCCCAGTAGCTTGGGAAGCTGAGGTAGTAGGATCGTGAGTTCAAAGCCAGCCCAAGCAACAGCAAGGTGCTAAGTAACTCAGTGAGCCCCTGTCTCCAAATAAAATAGAAAATAGAGCTGGGGATGGGGCGCAGTGGTTGAGTGCCCCTGAGTTCAATCGCCAGTACCAAAAAAAAAAAAAAAAAGATAAAAAAATTAAGTGACTTATAATTCTATGTATAAATAACATTTTAATATTTTTAGTTTATTTATTAATGTTTACAAAGTTAAAAGACTCAGTATAGTTTCCTTTTCTTTTTCAAACAAATATTTAATTTTATAATATAATCAAAGTTTTAGTATTTGCAACATATTCAAAGCAGAACTATATTTTCTCTCTTGTATACTGCAAACATATATGATCGTATACTTCTCATACTTAAAATATATTAACAAACTCTTACTAATATCCTTAAATCATTCTCAGAAACAATCTATGTTCTAAGCGAGTTCTATTATGAAGCCATGACTTACAGTTCAGATGAGGCCCCTGCAGTTGCTCCCTGGGTCCCTTTTCCAATTTGATCCTTCTTTTTACCCTTCTTTCTTCCTCGATAGTAAGATCGTTCTCTCATTGGTAGCCATCTTTCTGGATCTGGGGTAACTTTTGGGTCATAATTCTTAGGCAGTTTTCCTGTTTAACAAAAGTAATAAAGAAATGAGGGATATGCCCCTAAAAGTTTCAAGACAGCTTGTTTACACAGTATATCTATGCCTGGGAATAAATAACACTACAACAGAAATTAGTCTGAGAAAGTTTTATTTGTAATAATCTAACTAGGAAAAGGCCTCATTTCTAAGCATAATAAAGATTTAGAGGCTAAAGATTTCACAGCTTTATCTGTATAAAATTTTAAAGTTTGACAAAATACATTTTTAAGAAAAATAGCAAAAACCTTATATTCTATAAAACAGAGTATATTGATATCCTTAATATAGAAAGAATCCTTACTAATCAATATGCAAATCATTCGAGAAAAAAAATAGGCAGTTATCATTAGGGTAAGCCAGAGAAAGTGAAAGTCATTAATCATGTAGAGAGATGCTCAATCTT